ATACACATGCACAAGTGTGTGTGTGTGTGTGTGTGTGTGTGTCTGTCTGTCTGTCTGTCTGTCTGTCTGTCTGTCTGTCTGTCTATCTCTCAGTCAGTCAGTCAGTTACGGTAACCTAGAAGTGGAGTTCTCGCCCCACAATCCAGAGGCTATGAGTTCGATCCTAGGTAGAGGCAGATATTTCTCTCTCTGGGCACAATGAGAATGTACCTGCTGAACAGAGGTTGGTTATTTATCTAACTTATCTTCATACAACCTTTTGTTTGTTTGTATCCGACGTTCATTATTTCAAGAAATAATGCATGGTGGAGAACACATCCAGCACACCTTCCTTCCTTCCTCCTGTTTTCCTCGCAACCACAACCCTGCGAGGCGGGTTGGGCTGACAAGAGAAAATGACTGGCCCAAAAGTCACCGACTGGCTTTCATGCCTAAAGCGGGATTAGAACTCACAGTCAGCTGGTGATTGGCTCAAGGTCACCCAGCTGGGTTTTCATAGCTTAAGGTGGGACTAGAACTCACGGTCTCCTGATGATTGGCTCAATATTACCCAGCCAGTTTTCACGGCTAAGGTAGAACTAGCAGTCTCCTGGTGATGGGTCCAAGATCACCCAGCTAAGGCAGGACTTGAACTCACGGCCTCCTGCTTTCTAGCCTGGTGCCTTAACCACTAGACCAAGCTATCCACATACAACATTTCAGTCAAACTGGAGTTGGTTCTTAATGCCAGTATTATTGCAACCTCTTCTTGGTTCAGAGCGTTTTGCAAATCCATAAGGCTTTTGAGTAGTTAATGTGGATATGTTTTTATGCCGATAAAAGGCAATATTGACGCCTCACCAAAGATCAAACGCCACCAGATCTTGAGACTGGATTGACTGATATCCCCAAACAAAACTGATTGCAGCACACACACAAAACCACAATCCTTACAGGGCAGCGACTAAGTTACTCACGCACTACTATGCTGGTAGCAAAGGCGAACGTGGGAGTAAATGGCTGGAGGAGGAGTTGTAGCGTTCCAGTCCCAAATCTAAACAAGGCGACACTCCTCGTCCTTGTCAAACTAAACTTGGACCCACAGCACACAATTTTGAGTCAGGCGGTAAGCCCTCCATTGCGATTTGCTAAGAAACGCAACCTTAGATGACCCACAACACAACAAATCCGTCATCTGCAACCTCAGGATAATCATGCGACCCAATTCTACTGAGTGCAGAGATATTAGAAGGGTTTAACATGCGATAATCTTCCGTGTGAGATTGCAGAAAACTGATGGATATTTGCATTCGGGGGGGGGGGTGTCTTCCTAGGACGCCAGCTGCCTATTCTTGACATGAACATTAATTCTGCAATTGATTAAAAGGCCTCGCCAGCCAACACTTTCATTGTTTTGAAAATTACTAGGTAGTCCTCAACTTACAACAGTCGATTTAGTGAGAACAGCCAGGTTTTAATGGCTTTCCGGAAGGCCGAGAGAGTGGGCTTTCCCCCCGCACGTTCCCCCCCCCGCGTCCCCTCCTGGGACCAAAAACAGCCCACCACACATTCCATTTTGGGACTAGTAGGCCTTCCTAAAGCTTCCTGAAACTAAAACTGGGGCGCAGGGAGATTGCTGCACCCCCCCCGGTTGCTCCCGCGCATGTGTGTGCGCCCCCACCACTGCATATGCATGTGTGCCCCCCGCGCATTCATGCACATCTCCCGCAAGTCTCCCGCTCCCATGTGCGTCAGAGACCCAAAAAATCAGCTGGCCGGCGGGAGGCATACGCACATGCGCAGTGAAGCTGAGCTGGACGACAGCTCGCGTGCCCACAGAGAGGGCTCCACATGGGCCCCGTGGCACACGCACCATAGGTTCCCCATCGTGGCTCTGTACCGATATTCGCATAACATTACACTATAATATACCGCACCAAGATGAACATGTTGCTTGTCTA